CAAGATGAATTATTTTTCTCTACTCTGTTTCTTAATATACAGTTTGTGATAAATTCACTTCGTAACTCCATGTGTTACCACACTTGCATCCAGAACTTTAAATATTGTTTCCTTTTCGTCAAAATCCACACAGACGGGTTTAATTACTTTATGACACCCTTTGTTTGTAATTAACCACAAAGCTACACGATGGGCTCTGCCCAACACGGGTATCGAAACCCGGATTCTAGCGTTGTAAGTCCGCAGACATGCCACTGGTGGCCAACACCCTTTGACAATTATTCTCCTTATCCGTTAAACTGTGAAACTCACTTTAAAATATCGCCTCATGCCTAATCACTAGCACGCCGGCTAGCTTCACATGTTCTAACTTTTTTTATATGCCTGGACTTGACTTGCCTCGCTTGGTCCCCTATATTGTTACATTATAATGTAACAATACTCACTAAAGGTAATGAGAAAAATACCGAATATTCTAGTAACTTGGCTCAACAAATACTACGACTCTTACCGAGTTATGCAACCAAATTTGTCATGGCCTTTAAAATAATTACTTTTAACTCTCTTGTTATGAAAAGTAAATAATCAGTAAATGTTAAAACACGAAATAATAACTTGTATATCCAACAAAGTGAAAAGTAAAAAAAAAACGCTGCTGTCAAAGTATTCTGAAGTATTGCCAGTATCAGTTGTTGTTTTATTGGAAGTCGTAAAGTGGTGGTGTTAAATTTTGAAAACAAGGGAAGGTCGTGATCAAAACCTTGGAGGGTTGGAAGTGCAGAACTAAAAATAGGTGATGTACTGTGATCAGAAAGTCGAAGTGGACGTAGCCAATTTAAAGGTTTCATAGGTAAAGATGAAATTAACAAGGTTGTAAATGGTATCGAGGATCAAACTATGTATTTGATACTGTTGAAATAAATATAAAAACGGGTTTAGAACAACTTGATGATGTACATAGTTCTCTTTACTGGAAAAAAAGAGCGTAGCTCTAATAAGCCATATGAGGGATTTCTGTTGGAGGAGGTACAGCTTTCACCCTTGAAGAATAGTACCATCCTAAAACTGTTCCAGGCTGTGGTTATACCAGGGTTTAGACAGTTTCCTTGATGTAAAAAGATGTCACGTGACATGACATCTTGCAAGAATTTTCAACCAACACTTTTTTTTTTATATAATATATAGAATCGAGAAACTTAATGCAAGATACGATTTCTAAAGATTGTATCAAGTTTGAGGAGATTGGTGGAAAAATGGAACAGCTACAGTTCTTTTATACCCCTGATTTAATGGGCATCCAGAGTGTCTTAAGATATCATTTCAAAATTGCCATCCTAGGGTCTATGAAACTTTGATGAATTATATGATTCTTATGACAGTATTCTGAAAGGGCTAGGCCATTTTGGCCTCGTATTTCATGTGTCCTTTCTAGCTGAGAAATCGAATTAAAACAAGTCTGTGGTTAGAGTAACCACGTGTGGACTAATGGTGACACGAATTTCCTAAATACACTATTCCTTTCAATTGTGGACACGTTACGGGCGTGACTGCCAATCTTGATATTCTATTCAAAGAGTCGGTCAAAGCCTTGTGACAATGGATGCTGCCCCCCCCCCCCGATTTAGTCGTTATTCTCACCTGTTCTTAAAGTGCCAATGAGGTTGGAAATTCCATTTCCTCTAATAACAGTAAGCTTGTATTTGGTGAATAGTCAAAGGGATTTAGAAAGCTTGAGCCTACCGAAACGGTCAAGTTTGGTTAACGTAGGAATATATACAGTATGTATTGATGGGGACACTACTTACATGAGCACAATTAGAATAAGGAGCCATGAAATAAGTTATGTATTTTTTAAATACAGAGAAGTTAGAACTTAAAAACTGTATTAAACAATGAATAGAACACTATTCCCACTAAATCCAAGAGTCGTTTGTCAATTTTAAAAGACTCAGTTGAAAGTTTGATATTTGGACTTTTTTTTAATATTAGCTACTTGCAGTTTCGAAACAGATGAATCTATATACAATCTTTGCTATAATATGCATTAAATAAATTTGTAACGAGTGTTAGTGAACTTGGGTGTTTGTTTTCGATATTCGCCCAAAGCTATCGTTGCTAACCCTTCCTAATTTTGAACCTTTAGGCTAAAGGGAAGGAAGCTAGTTAACAACCGTCACTGCCAAATTTTGTGGTACTTAAATGGAATAGTGTGATTTAATTGTCGTTCATATAACGAACCAACGGCCCCATAATGCGTAGCACGATTTTGTGGTAACCGTGAATCCTTGGTTTCACTGTCTGGTACGCTCACAACTCGGTCACGCCTGATTCAGTAATTGATTAACTCTCAATTGTTAAAAAGAATTTCAGGATGAAATAGAATAAGTGTTTGTTTGTTTGTAATTAAGCACAAAGCTACACAATGGGCTATCTGGGCTCTGCCCACCACAGGTATCGAAACTCGGATTCTACCGTTGTAAGTCCACAGATATACCGCTGTGCCACTGTGGGCATAAAACAAGAGAGCTCAATAATATGTCAAACACACTATATCTGCTGTATACGGTGCTGTTGGAAGCATGTCAACGGGAGTATCCTGTAGAAATATTTGACGGAGGGAATTTACTTCAAACATTACCTATAATTAGTCCAATAAAAAGTAAGATGTTGATCTTATCGTTGTTGTAGCGTTATAAGCTGGTATATTTCTGTTAAATAAGAACAAGTGAAATGGATTTTTCATTGCTGTATAACTTCTAGTTTTTCATTGCAGCAATGAAAACAAACAGGAAATTTTTCGGACGACCTTGTTATAAAAGTTTCACCAAGACCAAAGGAAGGGCCCGGCATGGCCAGGTGGCTACGGCACTCGACTCGCAATCTGAGGGTCGCGGGTTCGAATCCCCGTCCCACCAAACATGCTCGCCATTTCAGCCGTGGGGGCGTTATAATGTGACGGTCAATCCCACTATTCGTTGGTAAAAGAGTAGCCCAAGAGTTGGCGGTGGGTGGTGATGACTAGCTGCCTTTCCTCTAGTTTTACACTGCTAAATTAGGGACGGCTAGCGCAGATAGCCCTCGTGTAGCTTTGAGCGAAATTCCAAAACAAACAAACCAAAAGGAAGAAATTCTGATCTGTCGTGATATAAATGAACGATATACTGTGTAAAACATTTTAGGTGTTATTTTTCTAAGATTTAGAAACCACGAGATTGTCGGTCGACGAAAACAAGGAGTTCGTTTTAGTAATAAAATAAAAAAATTTAGTACTTTTTTTTAGGGCCCCCCCAGTAGCACAGCGGTATGTCTGCGGGCTTACAACGCTAGAATCCGGGTTTCGATACCCGTGATGGGCGGAGCACAGATAGCCCATTGTGTAGCTTTGTGCTTAACTTCAAAAACAAACAAACTTTTTTTAGGCTATTTCGAAATACATGCTGATTCTGGATGGTTTTAATAAACAAAACAGTTTCTATGTCGGATGGTTTTTTTTACACACCCTAAACATGTACAGGTAGCGAATAGATTTACTAAAATTACCAGTGCAGTGTGAAAGTGACGGAAATATAATTTTTTCCACTTTTTACGATCGCAAACACCTGCCTTAGGATAAATATTGTGGCCATTTTATTGACATGACTACCTGTGGAAAAGCACACAATAATACTCCGTGGTTTCCCGTTGTTTGAAAAGATGTTTGTGAATGTTTTGGTTGCAATTTGATAACGCGTGATTCAAACATCCTGCACCTGAGAAAACGAAACCAACAAGTGTAACAAAAATTAGGTCGTACAATGGGTTATATCCGAAAAAAAAATACAAATCATCACTGAAAAGAATAATATATTGAGAAATTCTGTCTACGTGTACAAATGTAACCTACGGGTATTTTGCAAACCCAATAAAGTAAGCATTCGGAGCGAAACAGTTTGAAAGTGATTGTAGAATCCAAAGTAGGTGGTTTTCTGGTACTCTTGATTAATTTTATATCAGATTTGTTTCTGTTTCAATTAATATTGTAAATTTTTCGCTGTTTTTCGATTTTCAGCTTTTAGGAAACTCATTGAAGAGATCCTGAAGAAATATTCAAAATTATCGAACATCATAACTGTGAGTCAAGAAAAGTATTTAAATATATTTTGATTTTTTTCTTCTAGTTAACATCATATATGTGTTTGTAGTCATAGCTCGTTTGTTCGTAATTAAGCACAAAGCTACACAATGGGCTATCTGTGCTCTGCCCACCACGAGTATCGAAACCCTGATTCTAGCGTTGTAAGTCCACAGACATACCGCTGTGCCACTGGGTGGCATAGTTATAGCACAAACTAAACAATGGACTATTTGCACTTTATCCACCGCGGGGAATCGAATCCCTGATTTTAGCGTCCATAAACTTAACGCTGACCCAGCGGAACACAAGCACACACACATATATATATGTGTATAGATCCTCCTCCCTATTTCGTTAATATAGTTAACAAGTTACAATGGAGTAAAATATGTCTGTAGAAATAGTTTTCAGCTAACAAAATGTTTATTTCTTTTCACTCAAAGGATACTCTTTGACTTTTCTCTGCCACTATTTAATCTCTAATATAGTATTTTTCTATTGACGCCATGATTGCTTGACCAGTTCTTCTCAATAATAAGTCAAGTTAATACACGCAAATAAATGACACATTGTTAATTCGTACCCTAATTCTGACCTGTAAGTAACTCGTATAAAATTACACCTCACCAACTTATCTAGTTAATAACTGTTCATGCAGTTTAACTCATTCGCCGTATAGTGTACGGTCGGCCTCCGCCAGTTGAATACGAGTGTACGGCTCACAAAAATTCCGTGCGATTTTAATGTAACCGCAGTCAAATGGTTTCTTTTTTGTAGTTAAGCACAAAACTACGCAATAGTCTATTTGTGCTCTGCCCACCACGGGTATCGAAACCCGGTTTCTTGTATTGTAAGTTCGCAGACATGCCGCTGTGCCACTGGAGGACATGGAGTCGAACGGTTAATAATACAGGCCTGCGATGGTTTTATTGTCTTGACACTTTTACATGTTCTACGGTAATTTCTTTTCGCTGAATACGAAAATGATATCCATTTTTCTCCATCACGTACAGATTTTCACAAAACGTCATAACGCAATACGTAAAGAAAGACCACAACACGTAGTTTTGAGACTAAAAGACGTAGATTTCACACAAATCAAATCAAGATGACTGAGGATGCATATTCGTTTGACATCAATGTTCTTCCCTTTTCTTCAGTAATTTTGTATTTTTGTTAATAAACATAATAATAAAAAATGTTCATTGTGGTAAACGAAATAATAATTTGATGAAAGTAAGTATATCTTTTCTTCTCGATTTGTGATAGAAAAAAAAAATGAATATTATTTTCGAACTTTGAGTAGCTGAATTATGGAAAATCCATTATTAAAACCAAAATATCTTTTATGAAGGCCTATGTAATATAAAAAGCGTCTCTACCAGTACAGCCTATCTCGTACTATAGTAGACCTGATGAGCCCTGGTTTTGGGAGAAAGGCTTAGTTGGCACGTTGTTATCCATTCTTCGTTACTTTCATTTCTGATCGGGTCGAAGGGTCATCTTTCATACCCATGACCTTAACTTTACAGATAAAGGCGTTGCTCCAGATTGGCTACATGTTTGGATTTGGAGTCCTAAACGATCTGCCGTGCAAGTTTTCTCATGACTCTCATGTATTCTTCGTCCTTTTACACTATTTAAAAAAAGAAAACTAGCTATAGGACTACCTTTCTTCGGAAAGTATTATGTCATTACACCCCATATATACTTGAGAATTCGCTATAAACCAAATTATTAAGTAGACGAGAATTAAAAACGAACTTAGTAAATAATGTAGTTAATTCTGTATACCATAACAGAGGCACACAATATCATAAAACAGAAACTTATAAAGATTCGATTCATCAGGTGGGTAACATCGCAAGTGATAAAAATATTGCCCGGGCTCGCAACTTCAGTGACACGCCTCTATATTAGATATGGAAACCATTCTTGTAAAGTGCGAATGACCCTTATACATTCAGATAGTCAAAAATTTTATTCAATAACTCAACAAAGATAAAAATATTATTCAAAAGCAAAAAATTTAACTGACCTGTACAAGTGGAAAAAAATCTTTCATTGTTGTCCACCAATGGGTCAACGGCAGGGTTAGGACTTACAACGCTAAAATCCGGCTCAATTCTCCGTGATGGACAGATCGCAGGTAGTTTACTAAAATAAACAAAAAATTTCACTTTCAAAGTCAACCTCATTATTGTCCAATGGTCTTATTGTGTAAGTATTTTGCTTGAACGTTACCAAAAATGTTCAATTATTTTACATCTTATGGCTTCATATTAACACAGTTTCCTTTTTTTTTAAGACAGAAAATGAAAATGGACGTCCTGAAGCCGGTGATTCCACTGTTGGCCTTGATGTTGTATGGAATCGTATTCAATGAGAGGTTTGTAGGTAAGAATGTACAGTTGATCCTAAATTATCTGGATATTTATTACAGTTGATCCTAAATTATCTGGATATTTACTACAGTTGATCATAAATTATCTGGATACTTTATTACAGTTGATCCTAAATTATCTGGATATTTATTATAGTTGATCCTAAATTATCTGGATATTTATTACAGTTGAGTCCTAAATTATCTGGATATTTATTATAGTTGATCCTAAATTATTTGGATATTTATTACAGTTGAGTCCTAAATTATCTGGATATTTATTATAGTTGATCCTAAATTATCTGGATATTTATTACAGTTGAGTCCTAAATTATCTGGATATTTATTATAGTTGATCCTAAATTATCTGGATATTTATTGCAGTTGATCCTAAATTATCTGGATATTTATTATAGTTGATCCTAAATTATCTGGATATTTATTACAGTTGATCTTAAATTATCTGGATATTTATTATAGTTGATCCTAAATTATCTGGATATTTATTATTCACTTTGGACATAAACTTTTGTAGACTGCATGCCTAATTCAAGACTTTAAATATATCACTCTCCTATTATTTCCCGTGAGTTTCCAGGCAATATGTCTTCATATAGTTATATATATATATAATTAACTGGGCATGTATATTCACACCGAGTGTTTTTTAGCTCATTTTAAACTTCATAGTATCAGTTTTATATATAATTAACTGGGCATGTATATTCACACCGAGTGTTTTTAGCTCATTTTAAACTTCATAGTATCAGTTTTATATATAATTAACTGGGCAGGTATATTCACACCGAGTGTTTTTAGCTCATTTTAAACTTCATAGTATCAGTTTTATATATAATTAACTGGGCAGGTATATTCACACCGAGTGTTTTTAGCTCATTTGGTTAGTTTTACATCTCCGTTTTTTTAGAGTTTAATATTCCTGTAGCAATTGGGGCCGAGCGTGGCTCAGTGGTTAGTGTGTCGGATCTGCTACTTCTCAATTCGTCGCGCTCCACACATTCAGGTTGGTGGTGCGTTATAAGTATTGCAATTAAACCCCACTATTCATTCAGGCAAGACTAGCCCAAGAGTTTGTTTGTTTGTAATTAAGCACAAAGCTACACAATAGGCTATCTGTGCTCTACCCACCACGGGTATTGAAACCCGGTTTCTAGCGTTGTAAATCCACAGATATACCTCTGTGCCACTGGGGGGGGGGAGCCCAAGAGTTAGCGCTTAGTCCTTTCCATCTAGACTATCAGTTCAAACTTAGGAAAGACTAGCCCAGATATCCTTCGGGTAGCTTTGGACAAATATCTGAAAACACTAAGTTTCTAAACAATAAACCGTTGAGGTTTATGTTCAATATATTAATCAGTAGTTTGTGATCTGTTTACACTATCTAATTTTATGTTTTCCTTATTTTTCTCGGTTGTAGCCCTCTAGAAACGTATATTTAGCCTCTGGTTGATGTTAAAACTTTGCTTGTCTTTCACGGCAATTAACTCAATTGAAGCAAGTCGTTTTATAACAATGCTAAAGAAACTTATCATTGTAAAACGTTTAAAGGAAATTGACGTGTACTTATGTTACGATAATATTTATGAAGAGAATACTTTTTGTTACAATTAAAAATCAATATTTTGATAAAACAAAAAGATATACTGCAAAACAGACAATGTGGTTCAGATTTTACAAGTAGGAAAATAAGTTCTTTTTTTCGTTTTCTTGTTGAAATCAGAATTAAAAGTAATATAGGTCAATATTTTATAACGTATACAGTAAAATTACGTAAAAATAATATAGACCAATATTTTATAACGTATACAGTAAAATTACGTAAAAATAATATAGGTCAATATAACGTATACAGTAAAATTACGTAAAAATAATATAGGCCAATATTTTATAACGTATACAGTAAAATTACGTAAAAATAATATAGGTCAATATAACGTATACAGTAAAATTACGTAAAAATAATATAGGTCAATATTTATAGGTTATACTAGTAAAGTTAACTAAAGTAACTATAGGTACTATATAACGTA